AGCTGCTGTACCTTTCTGTCTGTTTGGTCACTTGCTTGGTTATTTTCAGCTCCTAACTATAGAAAACCCTATCCTTTTCCTAAGGAGAATTTACTTCAGTAGGTTTTTGTAAGATAGCAGTTGTCTGAACTCAGATGTGACAGCACACCTTGGACATTGATTTGCAGATTTTCATAAACTAAACACTGCAGTATTATAGTCATGATGATCACTGTTATTACATTTATTTTTAAAGTAACTCTGAGAATAAAAACTAGAATAAGATTTTTTGGATGGCAAACAACCCCACTGGGACTTGCACTGAGTGGCAAAAATATCCACATTACCATCTAATAGATGACTTACTTAGTTTGCAGCTGAATACAAAACCTAGCATTTCATTGTACATTTTTGTCAGTTTACGAGGTTGCATATTAATAGAAATATTTGAGTGGGTTTATGTTTTTACTTCTGAAAATGCTGGGCCCATAGTGATACTTACTGCAAGCTGCCCACAGAACACTAAAGTGAATCATTACCCAGATGACATCTCTGTGGGAATGCATTTCAAGGCATATGATTTGTTTCAACATTGCAAACTTTTATGTCAGTTCCATTTGTTTGTTTTTTATAACATTTGTGACCTTTTAACTATTTGGGCATGTTCATTCAAAATCCTCAAAATGAATCTTAATTAAAAAGAGTTGATCTAAAAAAATACTCCCTCACTCTGGATAGAATTTCTGTCATATCAATCCACAGACAAAAACAAATGATGTTTAGGAGTAGTGGCATTTTCAGTTTGAGTTACTAGCATGAGCTTCTGTGATCTTGCTGAACACTGCCATTTGCAAAAGAGCAATTAAAACAGATGACAATCTGCTAATCACACACAGTTCTATTTAGAAATCTAGCAGTATTTTCCCAGTTTGTTTTTGCTTGACTTCCTTAGAGTAAAAGCAAGTTTTATGTACTTGTATTGTATATAACAGTATGGAAATTTGGGAAACCTCACTGCAGATCAACAGTTTTCAGTCATCTAAAAATATACCCCAGGGTTGTAAACATCCCTAGTGAAAGCTGTGTGTGTGTGTGTTTGTGTAGTATATGTTTGTATGCATGTGTTTGTGTGGCTGAAAGATTCCATATTTGTTTTACATAAAATTGGTTTTATGCAGATAGACAAATTCTGTGTTTGTTAACAGAAGTAAGTAATGCAACAGGCCTGCATAGCTGATAAATTAAAGCTGATTGGGAGGCAGAAGGCACAGGCATGCTCAGGATTTAGGATTTAGAAGTAGTGGCATTCTCACATTGCCTTACAAAGGATGAGCTGGCTCGATTTGCTGGGCACTTTCATGATTTGGAGGTTTTGTCTGTGATTTTAACCTTCAAATCATTAAAGCCTATCAGTGGTATTCAGATAGGAGCTTCACTTGTATTCAGATAGGAGCTCTGGCTACACCTAGAGGTGAAGTGATTCTGGTGGATTTGACAACACTGAGAAGTTCCTATCATTTGGAAAGAACCTCAGAACATTAAGAATAGGGAGACAAATGGATAGTTACAAGGTAGTAGGAGTCACCAATGGAAAGAGACAGCAGTCAAATATAGGGATTGTATTTGGTCACCACTTTGTGATGTGAGGTCATCATTCCTCTGCAGAGCTGTGAGGTTTTCTTAGCACAGTTTGAAGTCTTTGAATTTCTGAAGTGCCTGGCTATTCACCATTGCTCATTCTTCATGAGCGGATACATGAACTTCTCAGCCACGGTGCTGTGACCACTTCCCTGCAGAGCCTGCAGTTCCTGCAGTTCCCAGTCACCCTCTGGGTGAAGAACCTTTTTCTGATATCCAACCTAAGCCTCCCCTGACTTGGCTTTATGCTGTTTACAAATCCTGTCACTGGTCATGAGAGTGAAGAGATCAGCTTCTGCCCCTCCACTTTGCTATGTGAGGAAATTGAAGATTGCAGCAAGGTCTCCCCTCAGTCTCCTCCAGGCTGAACAGACCGAATGACCTCAGCTGTTCCTCATACAGCTTCTCCTCCAGACCCTTCGCCGTCTTCATTTTCCTCCTTTGGATGCTCTCTGATAGTTTAATATCTTTTTTATATTGAGGTGCCCAAACCTGCCCCCAGCACTGGAGGTGAGGCTGCCCCAGCTCAGAGCAGAGCAGGACAATCCCCTCCCTTACCTGGCTGTGATGCTGTGCCTGATGCCCCCCAGGACAGGGCTGGCCCTCCTGGCTGCCAGGGCACTGCTGACTCGTGTTCAGCTTGCCAGGGACCAGGACCACCAGGTCCCTTTCCATGGCACTGCTCTCCAGCCTATTGTTCTCTAGACTGTGCACACCACCAAGATTTCTCCATCCCAGGTGCTGAATCCAGTACTTGTCCTTGTTAAACGTCGTATGGTTTGACTGCTCACCTCTCTCACTTGTCCAGGTATCTCTGCAGGGCCTCTCTGCCCTCCAGGGAGTCAATGACTCCTCCCAGTTTCGTGTCGTTGGCAAACTTACTTAGTATTCCTTCGAGTTCTGTAGCAAGCTGTTAATGAAGATGTTGAAGAAAACTTATATACATAAACAGGTATCTTACTTTATAAGGAAGGTGCTTTGTTGAGCTGCCCGTTTCTCTTCTTATTCATTGTCTGTGGGTACAGAATACAGGATCTGATAAGTGTCTTCTTCTAGAAGTGAAAAACCTCCTATTGATTTCACTGCCAGGGTAGATCCTTAAGCAGTGTAAAATAGGGCTGACTTTTGAAACTGTACTGCTGTTCTTCTTTTGGTGGCTGCTACAAGGATTCCGCTTCCTGCAGCTGTATTTTTAATTGAGAATTAGTTTAAATATATATTTTATTTTAAAAGGTAAATGGAGACCTAGTATAGTAAGTTACTGACTGCAGGTTATCAGAATGTTAAGGCATGGGAATTATACATAGTGCTCATTAGCAAGTGTACATTCAGGATAGCCAAAGTGCTGGTATATATGCAGAGTAATACTCCTACAGAGGTATCTAGACAGCTTTAGTGCTCTAAATGTTTATTGTGTTTATTCAATATGTTTGGGAGAATCATATGGAAATGTAGTCAGTAGTAGCACTAGTTATCCTGTACTTAATGAAGGTTTTCTTTGGAGATGGTGTTCCAGGCCTTCAGTTTTACCTAAATCAGTTTCAGAGGCTCCTTCTTTCACTCCTGAATTCCCATAAGCATTTTGGTTGGTTTTCATGAATCAAATAATAATAAAAAAGTCTTTAAGTTAAGGCCTTATTCAATTCCTTTTTATTTCTCTTCAGTGCAAAAAAGAGAGCGTTAAGAGCAAAGGGGATGGAAATGGTTCTGAGAGGAAGCACTTTTATGTAGTGGGAAAGTTATCATGTACTCTGCCAAAAAAAAAAAAAAAAAAAAAAAAAAAGCAAAAAGTGAGGAACATAAAAAAGTAGGGAAAGTGGGTAGAAAAATGTAAAGATGAGAAGAAAGTAGCAAAAGGGCATATAGCCCAGAAGCTCGCAAAAGAAAAATAGTGGTGGAAAAGGAAAAACAAAGGGACATTATATAGTAATCACTGCAGCAGAGTGATTCTACAACCTTCCACTTTCCCCAGCAGTTCTGATGGAACTGGAAAGGGGTGTGAAGAAGGTTTTACAGCTGTGTGGTGTGTACTTTTGTCCGCTTTCAGGTTAAATTTTCTTTCTCAACAATTACAGTAAGTTCATGGAGGTGATGCCACATCTTTCAATGATAACTAAGAATTTCAAAAATTTCAGCATTCATTTGCATAGGTTTATATCACTCAATTGTTTGTTGTATATCTAATTTTTGTTGTATATCTAATAAAAAGTTCTATAGACTGATTTGGAATAAAAATGTTAGACTAAGAAAGCCAAAACAGAAACAAAAACTTCTGAAATTTTAGAAATATTTGCTGAATTTACTTAGATTTAAATAAGAAATTCATGCAAACTTTAAGAGCTGAGATATAGTTTGTAGTTGCAAATGCTTATATTCTAAAATATGTAATGTTCAGTAATTATGCACTGGGGAGGATTAATTGCTTCATAATGTGCTTTATTCACGTGGGGGCAATACTTTGTACCCTACAGGTCAGAAAGCTAAGAAACTTTACTGTCAGTTTTCTGTTTTTTTAAAAACAATCTTTATATTGCTATCAAAATAGGTGTATATAAGATGTTCATGTCCCAAGTGAAGAAAAAATTGCCTTGTACTTACAAATTAGGTGAAAATATGTTGTGGCAGTGTTTTCAAATTTTTCTAGATCAACAGTTACTGGCTAGGTGAATCTTAGTGTTTCTCATGCTCTCTCACATATCTCACTTAAATATATGCTCCTCACTTGGGTGGAAAAATGTTGTGAGAAACGTGCTTACATCTTTAACATAGTAATTGTTCAGTTAATCTCATTTATGGGGGGAAGGAGGCTATACTTCACTGATACCGTTTAAATATCCTATACTGAGTTCTATATAAATAGCTACAAATGTGCACAATGGTTACATTACATGGTATATTTAACAACACAGCTAAATCAGAAAGTATGAGCTATGCCTTTAGTAATGAGAGTACTAACAATTGCATGCAAGAAGATTTTTTTGCTCTGCAACCATGAAGGAAATAATTGCTGTTCAGCACTATTCAGTTACGTTTGCATATCAGTAAAAACACATGCATAGAGACTCCACCTACATTCCTAGTGCCCTAGCACTGATATGAGTCCAGCATACATTAAAGCTTTAGAAGTTGTTGCAGTTTTCACAACTTGCAAAATGTGCGTAATTTTCAACAGAGTTCGTTTGACCACTGACAGATGAAATTGCCAAGGTGACATTCAGGTTTTATGTTTTTCTTTCATTTTAGACAAAAAGTATCATACTGGACATTTTACAGATTTGTTGCATGACTACTTCTGTTGAGGTTTTAAATCTTGTGGGGTTTTTCCTTTTTGGTTCATTGAAGATATAAATATATAAAGCAAATGTTTCTCTTTCATATTTTAGATGGAAGACTTTATTTGAAAACTACTGTCATGTATTGAATTTTTCCTGCTGAAAATGCGTGTGCTACGGTAAAGAACATTGCAGTAAGACATTGGCTCATAAGGAGTTCTGTGGAAACAAAACGTTTTCAAACCAACTTCCTCAACTTCATTTATCAATGTTCTTCAAAAATGTAAAGAATTCTGCAAGAGTGTCCTCCTTTGGTTATCTCCTGTGGCTCAACCTGGAGATCTAGAGAATGTTTGTAAATGTACAGTAGCACTGTTCTCACAGCGAAAATCTGCATCTCTGCGCCGGGCTATTGTATCCGAAATTACAGGCGGTCAGAACAAGGCTGAGTATTCCCCTTTTCAAGGAATGCAGACACTCTCCTCCTCTGATGATTCTATATTTGAGCACATCCAATGATCCTTCCAGCGGTGTCCAAGTACACTTACAGACTGTTATACCATACCGAAACCAGCAAGACAGCTCAGAGATGAACTTGTAGAGGGCATAAGAGGATTCTTATTTAAAAAAGAAAGGAAAAAAAAAAAAAGGTAAAAGAAGAAAAAATTGATACATTCAGTTTTCAAACTATGATCGTGGGTTTTCTTCTAAAGACATTTTTTCCACATGCTTTCCAAGAGACCAACACATATATGTTAGACTACATTAAGTGAAATGGAATTTTGTGTAAGTGAAAAGAAATGCTGAATGTAAACAAACTGTTTTACCATTCACAAAGTCTCTTTTCCTAAAATAAAATAAAAAAAAATAAAAATAATAGTAATTTCTCATTGTAAACTGGCAGGGGTTTATGAAATAAAAGACTTTGCTTCTTATCAAAATGTTGGTCACATGTACAGTATATAACACAAATCACACAAGGAAGGTATTATGTATGCAGTAGAAATCTAGAGTTTAGGAAATGAAACTTTTAGATAATATTGTTTTGTCACCCTGTTGGTCAGAAAGACACCTTTCTAGTTTTAACGCATGCAGGCATGTAAATATTTGTCCTGGAGTCACAGTATTACTGAATGAGATCTTAAGCATCTGGTAACAAGTCAGAATTCTGTATCAGCCACTTTTATTTGTATATTGAGCCCTGGTTAGTGCCCTGACTAGTGCACTTCTAAGAGTGGACTGTGGCTGAGCAGCAAGTCAAAATGCCAGAAATATTTTTATATGTTAATGTCATATTACGTCAATGTTGCTAAAAAAAGAAAACCTAACAAACACTTGATGTATCAGTCCAATTCCACGTAGAACTGAGTGATACAGTTGAAGTCTATTGTCCCTCCCACCTTGTCTTAGGGATGGATGGTTATGTGTTACTTTCACTGTCTTTATGAAAGCTACAATATGTGTTTTCACCTTTGTGCTGATAACTGGAAGTAAGCTGCAAAACACTGCTTATTACATTTCTAAAAATTATGTTCTTTGCTTTGCGTACTTTTGGGTTACCCCTTTAAAGACTGATTTTGTGAATCAGTGCTATTACTGTAAGTTTTGTGATTATGCTTTCTTCATCTAATGTTTTATGCATATAAAATATTATTTATTACATGGAAACATATCAAAACCTTAAATGTCTAAGATGCCTAACTTAAAGCAAATATTTCTTTAAAAGTAGTTCTGATTGGATATTAATATTATTTTGTCCAAAAAAAAAAATCTAATGTTTTGTAAACTCTAGCACTGAGCTTCTATAGTTTGTAGGTCTTCCTTGCAATACTGGTACACATTTATTTTGTGCAGTTCATATTTACTCCACCACAATCCTTTTTTAACAATAGAATGATGTATATACAAGTTCACATCACAGTAATTTTTTTAAAGAAATATTGAGCAATATTTTCATTAAATATTGTTGTCTAATACTTTGTAGTGATGTTATTTTCTAACCATGATTCTTTCATGATTGTCATAGTTGCTTAAACACACATGGGATTCTGTACTCCAGTTTTTTCATATGCAGTCTTTAAAGGGTTAACAGCTGTAAAGTTAGATGGACTTGTGGCAAGCTTTGAATCATTCATATCTGAAAGAGAATTAAAAGCCTACAACTGAAATATGTACTAGCATTTACCATTGCTCTGCTCCTTGCATAGAGTCACCTGTAAGTAGGTTTAGTAGTTTTACAGTATATTCTTTCAAGACCTTTGGGAATGCCTCAGTGTTTGGCTTGGTACATAAACAGAAGTGTTAAGGATTAAAGGGGAACCAATTTATGAGCTGGACATTTAGAAAGAATCTTGCTAAAAACAGTGTAAATATTACAGAACATGAGATGTTACCGTAAGTTGAAGTTTTTTGCCCCTCTTTAGTTTTACAGGTTTTGGGTTGGTATTTTGGTTTTGGTTTCTGATTTTTTTTTTTTTTGCATAGATTATGAAGAAAAGTTGTCCTCATGTTATTGTTTATATGCTTTTGTAATCTTAAAGATATTAATGTCTAGTTGTTCTATATTATAACCACATTTGCGCTCTATGCAAGCCCTTGGAACAGAACATACTCATCTTCATGTAGGACCTATGAAAATTGTCTATTTTTATCTATATATTTAAAGTTTTCTAAAAATGAAAAAAGGTTATTACGAATTTTGTTGTACAAAATCTGTACAAAAATCTGTTTTTACATCATAATGCAAGAATTGGAAATTTTTCTATGGTAGCCTAGTTATTTGAGCCTGGTTTCAATGTGAGAACCACGTTTACTGTTATTGTATTTAATTTTCTTTTCTTTTCAACAATCTGCTAATAAAACTGTCTGAAATCTCCCTGTGACTTTATTTACAGTTCATCTTTATTAAATTTTCTGAAATGTATAACATCAGAGGAATATTTACTTTCTAATGGGAGGCATCTAAAAACAACATAAGTCAGCTGTTTGTAATGTGAGGAGAACAATGCTGAATGATTTTATTTAACATGCAACTGCTTCTATCTCTAATATGAATTACTGTGGTGAAAAACATCATAAAAGCACACTCTGTGGTTATTGTTTAACAAGCATATTTTCCATTTTTTTTCTTGCCAGCTAAGCAAACTGCCCCCATCTACATGATTTATTTATGTACATTTCTCAGTTTATGAAGCTGTTATTTGTACCTTTTTCCTTTATATTGTGATATTCCCATGATTCTTATTTCACAAAGCTTTGTGCTGAACAATGTAAAGTGGACACATTGATGGAACAAAACAATATTATTCCTCTAATGCTACAAAAATGCAGGAGTAATCCTGTTGGTTTTGTCTCGAATCTCCATCACTTGATAAAAAACAAACCTCAAGTACTAAAACATTTAAACAGGCATTTGGAGAAAGAAATAGTTCTGGTTTAGCATATGTTTGGGTGGCATTGTGAGAAAAAAAAGGGGGTGCTTTTTTTTCAAGGTCAATATTGTTATTTAAGAGCAAATTTGGAACTAAGTTGGTTTTGCTTACAGAAAATTGAAAACTCTGAGAGTTATGACTGATTTTGAGTATTCTCCCTTATTGCCCTGCTTTGCCTGGCCTTGGCTTGCCTTTGCTTCCCATCCTTTCTCTTCCCTTCGTTTCTGAGCCATTCTGAAGTGTTTCTGAACGCTTCTGCTTTCATTAGGGGGCAGACCTGTTTGGGACAGCAGAAGAGATTAGCTTTCTTGGATAAGCCCATTCCACTATTTCTGGATAGCCTGGGGACTGCAAGCATGAGGCTGACAGGCTTCCTGGGTTCCAGCAGCTTGTTGTTGCTGGCTGGCTGATTAAGATTTTGGTTATCTGTATGTAGGGTAATCACAATCTCCTTCTACCTGCATTGAAATGTCCTGCATGTCTGAATTAGTAAGGATCCCAGATACACTGTAGCCAGCTCCCCTGCTATAAACTCTGGCACAGCTAAAGCAGGGTAAAAAGTAAACTCATTAATCTCAGTCCGGCTCATGCTGAAACCCAAATTATCTCTACAGTAACAGACTAGCAAGCTACCTCTGTGTTTTTAAGCATCCCAGGAAGTAGTCTCTTTCAGCAGAAAGGAGCTATACTCTCATAAGTTCCACCCTACCTCCATTAATAAATAGCTGCTTCATCTGTGCAGGGTACCTGACATTTAACAGGTTTGAGGCTGGATAGGCTGAGATAGTCAGATATTGGTACTCCTTGTGACTTAAGTAAAACAGATATATGTCAAAGCTCAGATCAAAATCAAGAAAAGTTTGCTCTAAACATATCTTGCCCTAAACTTAGTAGTAGGTTATGGTCGGATCCTGAAGAAATTTGGACTCAGCAGCTAAACAGCTAAAGTTTTAGGAAAATCCTGTAGGAAGTGATAGACTCAAATGGGAATTGCTTTTTAAAATTTTTCGGGTATTTTTGCAGTGGAAAGAGATATAAGGTTGGGTTTTGATCTGAAAGGTAAACCTCTTATTTGTTGAAGGTTCTATACATTCTTGAAAATTGCTTCATTTGTTATGTGCTTACATGTTATTTGACACAAGACTGCAATAAACAAAGACTGAGGCCAAGATTTTCAAGCGTGACTGCTGATTACAGATACTTCCAGTTTTACTGGCCAAACTTCAGACATTTTCAATGCCTTTCTTAAAAAAAATATCCTAGCTCAATAGTTCTAAGAAATTTATATCTTCAGTAGCTGCTGTCATCCATAGAATACTGAGGAATGTATTAGTGTACCTTTGCTGAGCAGGAGCTCACCCTGATCAATGATGATGGTTCCACTATCAGCAGTATCACAGCATTTCAAGCTACAGCCTCCTGCTTAAAAAAGCTTCATTTTCAAAGAGAGAGGAAACAAGGAGTTTCTGGAAATCAAGCTCTTAAAAGGAATAAAGTTAGAAATAAAATCTAGACAGCCAGAGTACTTGGAAACTTTGTAAATGTTCACCTAAAAGCCAAGTACTATGAGATACTAAGCAATTTGGGAGAATTTGTACATGATCTATGGAGAAACATGATTTCTTCATCCAGATTAGAGTAACAATGGGTGGCATAGTCCAGTGAATTGGCTAATTAATGCTCTAAATTTGATTCATAAAAACACAGGTTCATCTTGATGAATTAGCAAAAGGACAAGAAAACAGATAACCCAAACAACAACAACAACAACAACAACAAAAAAACCCACCCAAACCAAACAAGTAAAAAAAGAAACAAAACAAAACTTCCAATGGGATATAAAGGTGAAGAAGTCAAAATGAGAGGGGTGGAGCATTAGAACAGTTTTCACAGAGGAGTTTCAGGATCTCTATCTGTGGAGATTTTCAAACCTTAGGTGAGCATGGCCCTGAGAAACCTGATCTAACTGTCTGCAGTTAAAAAAGATAAGACTGCTTGACCTTAAGAAGTCCCTTCCAAACTCAGTTTTTCGTGGTTCTAGAACCACAAGGCTTATTTGCATGATGCCCTTCTAGGCATAACACTTTCTACATCCAGATTAGCAAGGAGCAAAATTTTATCCTATAAATAGCAGTTGTCAAACCTAGAATAGAAATTGCTGGGATATATTTAAGCATTCACAGATTTTTGATCTTCCATATCAGGAGGCCAGAAGAATGAGCTGCACTAACAGCAAGATGTGAAAGAAGATACAGTAAGTGAATATAAAGAGGATTAAAATGGCACACATTTTAATACAGATATAATTAGTTTAAATAATAAGAATGGAAGCTGTAGCAAATTTGTCAAACACTTCAAGATAAGTTTTCTAGCAATAAATAAATATAAGACAAAGTGAATAAATAATATGTCTAAAAATATAAAGAAGAGTTTTTGGGGTTAAAGGAAGTAAGTGGATGTAGTTTTCTTGGATAAACTGGCCAGACCGTCTTCGAGGAAATTGGAAATGATAAGCTGTAACAGATAGATCCTCCTTTTAAAATATACTTCCTGTATTCTTTTCCAAATAGCTTTCTTGAAATGAGTTCTGCAAGGCAACCAACTGTGTTGGAACTCTATAGATATTTACCATTCTGAGATACAGAGGACTTTGAAGCAGTCAATTTGGACTGTTGGCTTCTCTGTCAAGTAAGTGTTGTCAAGCAGATTGGGAGCCTGAGGTATGGAAAGGTTAAACTTGGCATTTTAAAACTGGAGGGACAAAAGGAGTGACTTTGGGCTTCAGTGACTGTGAAGTTGTATTATGGTACAAGCATATTTAAGTAGAACTGAGTTCTGAAGGATTTTGTAATGTTTTTTATTTGGATGTGCTAATTATGGGGCAAATTGCAAAGCAGAGAGGGTGTGAAAACAAAAGTCTTGGTGAGGAAATCAGGGTAAAAGAATGAGGCTGCAACAGAATTTTGAATAGAACGTAGGGATGGCAGAAAATAGGAGATTTCAGCTGTCAAGATGGAAGTAAATAGTGATACAATAAGGAGAAACTGGATTCTAAAGATACTCTTTAGAAAGATGTGGCAAGATACAGATGCAGCAAACAAACTCATTTGGCAGGGTCCTGGGCAAGCAGACATCGTTTTCAATTCAATTCAGAGGCAACTAATAACCATTTGGCTTCTGTTCACTGTGACCAAACTGATGCTGCAGAATCTGGCTGTTCAGTGATGGGATGATATATTGGAAGCCAGAAATAAGTTTCTACATGGATCTCTTGAACAATCTGAACTCAATTTAACAATTGAAGAGGACAGAGATAAAGTATTACCTTCTTTGTGAGCTGATCAATAACAAGCACACCTCTGGGAAACAGATGCTTCAACAAATGCCAGTATTACCCTTGCAAGCCATTTCAGTGCTGGAAGCTGAACAGGTTCACAGGATACCTTACACAGAACTTACAGAAGCAGTAAATAATAATAATAAAAAAAAATAATTGTTATTAATAATAAAGAAGCTCTAATTCTTACTTTTTATGGGTAAAATCTTATCCTTTGTGCCTCCAACACAAACCTCTGCAACACTGCAAGTGTATGTGTGGCAAATATGTGTCTTATGGAAGATAAGACTCAAGTGATGAGTTATGGGTTTAAAACAAAATCACAGCAAAAACTTAAGCTAAGCTATTGACAAACATGGAGGAAAAAAGGTAGTGATTAAAGTACAAAATTAGCTCAATGATTTCAGGATTCAAAATGTGAAAAAATAAATTCTAACAGCATCCACATGCCTAATTCAAAATCATCATTTTTGAAGTCTGCAATGCTTACTAAATGTTTCCATAACTCTCCTGAACACTCCTTGGGCACCAATGATGGTGTGCCAGTTCCCTTTTGAAGCACCTAGATGGCTAGCATGGGCATAACCTCTTCTTGGAGCCAAAACTTTGGTTCAACAAAGTGGTGCATTGAACATTTCACTATATCAGAAATCTCATTACATAACCTAGAAGAATAATTGAAAATAAGGAAACACACAACTGCCAATCCCAACTATTTCTACAGTTCCACAGCCCAAGAGTCCAACCACCCATATGCCCTACTGCTAGGTTGAACAACACATTCTTGTATTTTTCCTCCTGTTACTTCTCCCCCACACATATCAAGCTGTAACTATTTAGTACTAGCCTTCTATTGATGAGAGGAGAGGGAGTGCAAATCCACTGGGAATAAGAAGCAACTTTAATGGCACCCCCCATGCTCTCTTGAGAGAGTGTTCCCACCACTTGCCTTGACAAATGGACAAGCCTGGTGTCCTGTAGCTCCTGTCTTTTAAAGGTGCATTAAAAGTACAACTACATGAGCAGTTTAATGTGCAAAAATGGGCCTCTGTAGGTTGAATTTGCCTTGCATTTGACTTCTGATGTGTACTTGGGCTCCTAAAGCAG